CTGTTGTTACCAATATCATTATTACATTACATTAGTATCATATTCCACTCATGGTTTCCTGAACTTTAACAGGATTTTGAGTGTTCTTAATACTCTTCATGCACAAAGGTATAGTCAGTCTATTATGTTATGTCACGTCTACCATTGGCTGATCTCATCCATGAGTTTTTTTTTGACTGAAGACTCTATATTAGGAATTCAGAAAATTTGAAGGATACTTCCAAATGATGTGAGAACAAAAATATCTGTGGTAAATTAAATATAGTCATCCGCAGTCTTTTGAGAATTCCTAAATCTCCTCTCAGCTTATATTCCAGGTTAGGGTTGCCCTCTGGTGCTCCCGAAAGGAAGGTATGAGGATCAAATGATATACTGCTAGGGAAAGTGGTTTATAAACCGTTGAGTGCCACACAAGTCTAAATTTGGAAGGCCAAGATCTCAGGGATCCCACAGCACTCAGCTACCAATCAAAGACCAGAATACACCCCTGCATTGATGAGTGAGCCTACCTGCTTTCCACCTTCTTCCTCCATCTCCTGCCCAGGACCAGGAGCCTGAGCGTCCCACTGCGGCCCACGTGAAGCGCCACGCCTCCTCGTGCAGTGAGAAGTCCCATCGGGTGGACCCGCAGGTCAAGGTGAAGCGCCACGCCTCCAGTGAGTTCTGTGTGGGAGGGAGGAAGGGACGGAAACAGTCCATGGGGCGGTGGGTCTCGAAATCAGATTCCTGCAGGGGTGAGGTGGGTAAATAAATGAGTGAAATAAGGTGTAAGAAAATACTCTACCGCGAGAAAAATCACAGCACAGGCTCTGTGAGAAAGGGCAGCTAGCATGTGGCCTCAGAGGGGAAATGACAGGGAGGAGGAACATAGGAAACTGGTGTGCTTAGGCCCCACCTGTAGGGGCGGCCACTACTGAGCTCCAGCCGATGGCCGCCATGCAGCGGTGCTAGCCCAGATTTGCCGGTTCTTCAAAAGGGGCCAGAAATCTAGACTTCATGTCAAATCCACGTATTTTTTAATATTAGCAGCTATTTTTAAAAATTTAACACCTAGTCAGGAGACATATATATATTTCATCCTCAAGCTGTGTCTATTCCAGAGGCTAACAATTTATAATTTCTGATCTGGCATCATAAGTGGAGAACTGAACCCCTCCACATACCCTTGAGGCAGCTGCCCTGCAAGGCATGGCTCACCCGTGTGTCCCAGCCCGAGCTCTGCCTAGCACCCCAGAGGGGCTCGGGGAATTACCCGATTGACACACTGCACAATAATGACCAAGTATGCCAGACAACTCTATGATAAGTTCTGTTCGATTTCCAACATTCATTTCTGCTCACGTGTGATTTATCTTGATGAGCAAGCCAGCTTCCTGTAGGACAGCATGTTCCAAGAGTCTTTTATTCATTGCTTTAACTTTCTTCCCCATGTACCTGAATAAAGTCAAGTTCTATTCTTTGCTTTTTGAAGATCTATTTTTTGTGTGTGTGTGTGTGAGGAGGATCGGCCCTTAGCTAACATCTGCCAATCCTCCTCTTTTTGCTGAGGAAGACTGGTCCTGGGCTAACATCCATGCCCATCTTCCTCCACTTTATATGGGACGCCGCCACAGCATGGCTTGCCAAGCGGTGCGTTGGTGCGCGCCCGGGATCCTAACCGGCGAACCCTGGGCCGCCGCAGCGGAGCGCGCACACTTAACCGCTTGCGCCACCGGGCCAGCCCGTGCAGATCTATTTTTTAAAATACTTTTCTTTATTATAGCTCCATTTCACTAGTATAGATAATCTCTTCTGGGTGTCAGGAGGCCTGTATCCCATTCCTCACTTAATCACTGAATTACTGTGTAACTTTGGAGAAGTCCCTTCCCTCTCCAGGTCTGAGTTTCCCTGCTGAACAACTAGCGGGTCGTTATGAAGCATTCCTTACACTCCATCCACTCTTATGGGCACTGGAACTACAGGGCCTTAGGGAATGCCCATTTTAAAATGGAGAACTAAGCTGCAATAAGCATGTACGATTAAAGAAATCATAAAATGTCAAAAAAAAAAAACTAACAAAGATAACAAAAGACAGACCCTTTTCTGAAATCCGATCTTATATTGAAGCCCAGTTTATAAGAGACATAAAAGTGGAGCTGCTCTGGTTGGAGTCGCGAAGCCCATGTGGCCTCCCCTTTGCACCGTGCAGTAGCCTGTGGGCCATCTGTGGAATCATAGGGCTCCTTGCAGGGCAGTGGGAAATCATGGATCTAGTCCAACAACGTTTTTCAGATGAAGAAACTGAAAAACATGAAAGAAAAGGGTCTTACCCAAGATCATGTATTAATTTCCTATTGCTATATAACAAATTACCCAGAATTTAACAGCTCAAAAAAATGAACGTGTATTATGTCACCCATTTTCGGTGGGTCAGGAATCCCCAAGTGACTTAGGTAGGTAGTTCTGGCTTCGGGTCTCTGGGTTGCCATCAAGGTGTCAGCCAGTCATCTGAAGTCATCTGAAGGCCTGA